AGTGAGAGATTTCCTTTTGCTTAAATGGGGATTTGTTGATGCCACAATTAGAAGCCTCTCTCTTTGTTTGGTTGGTTGCAAATTTATAATTTCTTCTGCTTATCATCTGCTAAATGATCAGAATATGGTGTTTAATTGGTCTTCTCTAATTTGGAGTCCGTTAAGTGTCTAAGCATAGGTTTAAGGAGGCTTCTAACTCAAGACAGACTTATGCGCGTGGGAGTTCTGAGCTCTTTACTGTTGTTGTCTGTGTTTGCAGCATGAGGAGTCTATTGAGCACTTGTTATTTTCGTGCCCTTATTCTACCTTGGTTTGAATTCAAGTAATGGCTTGAAATAGAGTTTTATGATTATCTTACCCATCTTCTTGGCTGGATATGTTATAATGGAGTGCTGTGCATGCTAGAGGGAAATCTGTGAAGAGGAAGATTCTAAAGGCTAGGATTGCTGCTGTTGTTTATCACCTGTGGTGTGAAAGGAGGATAATGATTTTTTCACAAAAGGCTACTGTTGCTAATGCTTTGGCTGCAGTCATCAAGTATGATGTTTTGGCAAGAGTTTTCAAGGCTAAAACACCTCATCATTGTACATCTAGCTATCTTTGATAGCTTTTGTTAAGTTTCGTATTCTTTGTTTTCTTGTATTGCTCAGTTGGAGCTAACTGTTTTTTGTACTTACATTCCAGCGGGTAATGAAACTTTTCATTTACCAAAAAAGAACAAAAAAAAGGTCTAGATGCAACAAAATCCTAACTATATTACTAAATAAAATGAATCCACTCTTAAGTTGTCTTGCATCAGCAACCTTTGTGCATCCTCTCATACCTACTTTGTGTCTTTACAGTAATGACCAATTGAGTCTCCTCCTATAAGTAATTTTTTGCCTCCCAGATGTCTAGAAATATTTTCTCATATGCTCCCTTTCTCATATTTTCGTTTAATCCTAGTTGTAATGCATGATCACCAAAGTTATTGACTTATTCTCCTGATACAAAACTTTATTAGTACAACCATTTTGAACTTTATTAGTACAACCATTTTGAACTTTTTATTAGTTCAGCTCACTTTTCCTCGCTGCTTTATAAGCTCCTCATCGTTTGCTGGAACATAGTGCTACTGCTTCCTTCTTAAACACCGAAGGAATCCTACTAGCGCTAGACTGAATGACACTTAGGTCATATCCACTTCTTTTTATTTTCAAAAGTTTATACATTTTCAACTTTTTTCTGCTTATTATTTGCTTTCTTATGTATAAATGTTTTGTGTCATAGGTAACTATACTCGGAGTCCGTCCCTTTGAGATGATATCAATTTTACATGAATGCGTTTGTAGCGACCTTAAAAATTTCTGTCTGGTTGGAGGTATTCGTGATAGGTGGTAAGAGTGATGATACCTTTTTGATCTATGTTGAAGATAGTTCCACTCTATTTTCCTTCCGATTTAGGAAAATGATGCTTGGAGATCATGTATATCACTATTGCATTATTCTTGCAGTTTCTATTAGCTTCTCTTTATCTTCGTGCTCAATATGTAGGGTTCATCTTCAAACACACAGTTGACACTTTGAAATCAAATACATGAAGATTACTGTATCACCTCTCTGCATCCTTGCAGCTATCAGGAAGTGCTAATTGAGTTATATTGAACTCACCTTATCGATTAATATGATTATGTTGGACGTGTTTCTGCGGAGGTAGAAAGATTGCTAAAATCTTTATGTTCTGTTCAAGATTCTGTGATTTTGTTTTGCTTTATCTATTACTCTATTTAAAAAAAGGCAACCTAATGCTATCTTTTTTTGGTATTCTACCCCTAAAGATGTCACACTTTGAAAAATACCATCACACCCATATACAACCAAGAAGGATTTAAGTGTTAATTAAGGGGAAAATTAGGAACACAATAATTACAGGAAAGAAACCCTCAACAAAATTCAGATCTGCAGCAAAATTTCAAAAGCTTTACCAACCAATCCAAATCTACATTCATAATCTTAATCAATTTAGTTGCTTTGGCATTTGATGCCGGACAACTTAAGATTGGATTCATTTTATGTAGTAATATAGTTAGGATTTTGTTGCATCTAGATTTTATTTTAGTTGATAGAGAATAGTAGTTTGAGGTTTTGTCTTTTTACATATTTTTGTTAGATATTTGGTTATGATTATTTTTAGTTTTATTAGATTAGATATTAGTGATTTGATGTTATCTTTAGTATTAAGTTTTTTTCTTATGAATAAGTTCTAATCCTCCACGAGGAAGATAGACATTGATTAATGGAAATGTGTGAGTTTGAAAAATCTCTCTTTGAAGCATGAGTTGCTAGACGTAAAGCCATTGTTTTATAGGTTAGATGCTGTGAGTGAATTTGGTCTATTCAGACTTATTTATTTTTATTGTATATTTCTTTTTTTTTTAAATTACTGTTCACCCAACACTATACACAGGTTAGTGTCACCCAGTATTGTAGATTCATCTTCCAATGACCATTCAATCCATCTTCTTATGGTGTTTCCTTTAATTTCAAATTCAATTAGAATCCATCCCTCAGAGCCAAGAGATTCATTGTTGCAGCTTTTGACATCAGCAAAGTAACAATTCAAAGTCCATCAATGCTATGGAATTTTAAACTCAAGAACGATTTTTTTTTCAAGAAGGAGAATTTGATGCAATGACAGATCCATAACTAAACACCGCCGAAGATCTAATTAAGATTTTAGTTTGGATTTATTTTTAAGGAATTTATTTTTCTTTTAGTTGAGATCTTTAGTCAGGATTGAGTTTGTTGTTTAGATATGATTGAGTTTTCTATTTTGTTAGGATGTGTTATTTGGTCTTATCTATTAGTTGGGATTAGATTTTGTTTTATTCCTATAAAAAGAGTTGTTTCTTCATTTTTAGGAAGAAGAGAATATGTTTGTGAGAATTCTGCATGTGAATTGTAGCTAGTATTAAGCATGTGAGGTGCTCAAGTGAGGCACATCATGTGTATCTTATTTTTTCTTTAAATGAAGAGTGCAATTTCTATATTTATTTTCTTTTTATTTTGTTTTGTCCAAATAATAATCCTTAGCGGATCTCTAGCGCCTGCTCCCCCCATCACAATTCTCCTCCTTCCATCACCCCTTTTCTCTCTCAACTGAAATTTTCCCGTATAGAAATATATCTATTCAGCATTTATTCTGGTACAAAGAACATGCTTCTCATCTTCATCTAAGGTTCATTGTTTTGATGATTCTTGCTTTATTCTTTCATGGGTATTTTTCATTTTTTATGAAAATTATTTGCGTTCTTTCCTTTTCTCAAGATTATGTTGTTTATATGGGAAAGAAGACCTACACCAACCTAGATGAAATGTCATTGCATTGAGAAAGATAAGGCAAAATTTTCCCATTCATTGTCGTTGTTTCATTTTGTTGCTTTTTAATTCATTAATGGATATTTTCAATATTTGGAAAAAAATTATTCATTTCCTTGACAATTCCACTAGAACTCTCCAACAAATTTCTTTGTCATGCACGCATCGCTACCGCGTGTATCGGAATACTAGTCTTTAAGAAACAGAAGCTAACAGAACTGTAGCATATTTGTGAATTTGTAGTGTCTTCTCATCTGTCTCTTCCTCAGTGCACATGAGCCTTTGGGTGCAAGCTTGACATTTTGTCACTGCTTATGACAATATGAACTTTACAACATAGGTACACAGATCGTGTAGTGCAGTAGCTTATGTTGAGAGGAATGGAGCTAGCCCACTCTGTCCAAGCTTCTTAGAAATATGAATGAAGGTGTTAAGAAAAACATTTTCCAAATTTTAAAGCGGCCCATGCCCCCACAGGAACCCCTTAGCTTCATCCAGTAAAATTTTCTTGGATTCTATTTTCAATATATATATTCATCAATACGTGCTTAAATGGAGCAATCTAAACTCTTATAGCTGCACTCATCTTTTGTATTAATCACTTTGTGTTAATGTTCCTTCTTGAATACTCAAATCTTCTAATTCCCATTGGCAAAAATATTTCCAATATTTGATGGAAAATAATATGAAGAAGGTTATATAAAAGATTTTCCTGTTAGCAAATGCGCTGAAAAGTTCAAAGCTTAAATGTTGAGTAACTAATAGAGATAAGTTTTTGAGTAATCGTGTGCTTAGATCAATACAGTACAGTCATATTGTATAGAAAAATGGCTAATTCTAAACTGAGGATTCTAAACAGCACAATTCAAATTCTCAAACCATCAATTGGTATGATTTCATTGCAGGTGGTTTCATGACTACCAAACCACGTTATTATCTCATGTTTAGATGTAGAAAGGAATTGTAGTTATGCGTACTAAACTAATACAAAAATCAGAGCAACATCTGGAAGACTGCAGCTAAGTACTAGGAACTGTGCTCTCTTTTGGCATGGTATTACATATGTGATGCTTAACTCGTTATTTTTATTGTTGTTTCACTCTTAATGTGATAACTCATAAGTCCACTGACCACGAGCTAAATTAATGTTTGTCCCATCAAGCAAAACAAATTTAACAGTCTTATTTCACTTAATCTTATATTAAAAATATACGCAGCTTCAAATAAAATCATATTAAATTTCACATTATCCACCAATTAACTGTGTTCTAGCCTTCAGTATTGATTACCTTGCTGCGTGTAATTTAACACACCTTTGTGAAAACATTCCATATATATCTGAAATGTTTGACACATAGAACTAGACTTAAAATCATATTAAATTTCATTGATTGTACATGTACAAACGTCCATCATAATTGTTACCAACATAGCTTTGTAAATGAGATGATGTGAACCTCCAGAACTGAGTCTCGAAGTATACTTATATTGCTACAGGTGAATTTGTATATTCCATTTGTGTGTATGAACCAATAGGCCTTCTTTTGTAACCTGAACTTTCATTGCAGTGCATGCGTATGTTGTGTGCATGTTTCTTTTCTTGCCAATTATGCTGCCTTACCTTTCTTATCTTACTTTGGCAGGATCGATATAATTTTTTCAAGTGAAACATGTGCTGATGCTTGGATTGAGAAAGAGGTAAAGTCATTTGGTAATTATTGTCAAATTAGCAATTTTGTCTAGTGTAAGAATGTGTTGCATGTCAGATTTTTTTTACTAGAAAGGACAGAACACATAGTTTACATTGACGAAATGATGCATTAACTAGTTTATATAGTGCTATTGTAAAATTTTACCTCTAAAGTGACTAGAATTACATACATTCTTACATAAGAACTTTTTTCTAGCTTCCATAAAAAAGCAATATTGTGTAAACTCAAGGTTGAATAAAAACAGGTACAACAAATTGGTAAAATATAGGGTGCGGAGACATGACTGCGTATACATTGAAATTAATAATTTACATGAGATCATTATTGTTTTTCAGTTCATGTGTTATTCGAATTAAATTTCCTATCACATTTAAGTTTCTTTTACTATGTTGATTATTATAAATATGAAATTTCTCGTTTTGAACTAGACACACAAAAGGACTCCTTAAATTCATAGTTTGAAACTTGGCTGTAGGCTAAAATGAACCCGACCCTTATCTAACGAGTCTCAGGAAATGAATGTGAAATGTAGGGTATACATCTAAGAATTGCATGAGTGTTTCAAATTAAACATATATCATATAATTGAGTACAAGTTTGGATAAATGTATGCATATATCGAGGAGTGTCATGAAATTTTGGTACGGGTAGGTGTCAGGTACGGTATTGGCTTCATGATAGAAGTACCCGGATATGTTAGACATTGTTTACAACTATAATATATATGATGGACTTCAATTGGTAAGAAATAGATTACTTTTTCTAGCTAGGACATAAACCTGGGGTTTCCAATAATCCAACTTCAACAATTTATTACCTGCGACCAAGGGGCAAGAAATATTACGTAGTTCCACACTAATTTATGCTTTATGTTTTTCGATCTCTGTACTAATACAAGATAAAGGTGGAAAGTTGTGTTTGGTCGATAGTAGCACAAAACTTATGTCTTTAAAAATAATACTAAAGAGCATATTTTGAGGTCTCGTGGTTGTTAATTTAAAAAAAGGCCCATAAAAAGTTGAATCAACCCGAAAAGTTTAGCATAAAAAAGGCTTTGCTTTCTAAGGGCATCAAGAAGGGATATGAAGTACAATCGTACGAATATTGTTTATATAGAGTTGCACCAGACAATGATTCATGATGATGGAAGCGAAGATGTCCACTGGGTTGTCAGCTAACCATAATCTAGAAACGTGGACATAGTGATGATTTTGTTTTCCTATGGATATCATATTATGCATGTTATTACGTGTCGGTGTGTGGTGGTAATCTATTTTGTTAAATGTGCTACTAAGAGATGAAAATGTGGTGATGCCCACCTTGCTACTCACATCGTATTAGTTGGTCTCACCACGCTCTATCTCTTTGCGGCTCATTTAATGAAAGGAGCTGCAAGTTCATAACTATTAACACTATATATATGTATGGAATAAGCATATTTATTATACATATGTATATATTAAAAATAATGGGTATGAGGTGGGAGTTTATTTTGCTAAATGATCTACCAATAGATGAATATGCAGTGAGGCCCAACTACTAGTCTCATCAGCTCATTATCCTTTATCTTTTGATAGCTTATTACAAGACGGGCTTCCAATTAATAACCATCAAAGCCCCTTATATATAAACGAATATATTCTATGTATGTATACACATACATGCATATCGATGTCTATATATACATATGCGCAAACATATACATCTGTGCCCCCATGCACACATGTGCACACACACACACACACAGAGAGAGAGAGAGAGAGAGAGAGAGAGAGAGCATACAAAACACACAAATGCGTGTACATTTGAAATTGGAAGAATCCAACTAGAGTAAATAATAATCATAAAGTCTTTATCCCGAAATGTTTTATTAGAACTTTGGAGTATTTTGCATGAATATGCACTTTTATCTGCACCAGCAAATTGATTGACATGTGTGACACAGTGAACATGGAGAGTGTTTATAATTTGGCAAATAATATGCTACATATTGTTGATAGGTGCTAAAGATTCTAGATTTTTTAAGTTATAATTTGTTGGCATATCAGGAGCTTTCAACCAATGCCTGATACTCTGAATTAAAGCTTGATTACGTTTTGCGTTTAGGGTGGATATTAATAAGGTAATGTCCACAAGTATAGAGATAGTTTGACAATTCATGCATTATGGTCAGTTGTAAAAATTATACAGCATGCTCCCAGACTTTCCGTTGTTGATCGTGAGACAATCTTATCATCTTTTTCATCGCTGCCATTGTTATGACTTTATGTAAATAGTTTGTTAACCCATCAGGCTTTTCTTGGTAGATATTTTTGGATAAACGTAGAAATTTCTTGGGTGGTTTATGCTTTTATAGAATATTATGCTAAATGTAATTACTTGAAAATTTCTTATCAAACTTAACATTAGCTTAATCTACATCGATTTTGCTCGCTTTTCCAATTTAATACAGTTGATAATATTATATTAAATCTACATTAGACCAAGTTTGAAGCTGGAAGAGAAGTTAATATTTCTTGCCTTGCTAGGAAATCTTGTTCTATGCATAATTATTCCCTGACTCTTCGTATATGTGTCTTTCTTTTCTTATTCATGGTGGTCTTTGTGTACATTTATACAGGTTGTAGCGTTGAAAGAGGATGGTTGCCCAAAAGTTTGGGTTGTCACATCTGATGCTTGTCAGCAGCAAGCTGCGCATGGAGCTGTATGCACTTTTCCTCTTCAAGGGTAGCTTGTGTATTGAGAAATTGATTGTCATGTTTTCCTTTAACCACTTTGTATTACGTTTTCTCTACAAGCATTTGCTATTTCACGTGATTGGTATGATTAGTTTTCTTATCATTACATCTGAGGGTAGTTGAGATTGCAATCCATTTATTACCATAACTAAAAAATTTCTCAAGCTTGCATGTAAGTACTATGGTGTATGTTATTTGTTGGCGATATACTATTTGTTGACAATACTAGAGAAAGGATATTTATAAAGGAGAGAAGTGGAGACGTGCTCTTGAAACTAAAATTTCTAAAATTAGCAGAACAAAAATGAAATACGTGGAATGCATTTTCAGTAAAACTAAAAAGAGAAAAGAACATATAGTACATATTAATAGTCGAAAAGTATCAAAAGTAATCACTTTCGTAATTTAGGATCATTAATTCATAATGATGGTGAGATTGAGGATGATGCTTTCCATCAAATCAAATCGGAATTGTTAAAATGGAGAAGGAATCGGAATTGTTAAAATGGAGGAGTGCTTCTGGAGTCTTATGTGATTGTAGAATAATCATAATACTATAGAGAAAATTCTATAGGGCTGTTATAAGAGCAACAATGCTTTACAGATCAGAATGTTGGGCAACTAAAAAATAACATGTGTAAAAATTAAGTATAACAGAAATGAGAATGTTACGATGGTCTTGTGGTTATACACTAAAAGATATGATAAAAAATGGGTGCATCTATAGTAAATTAGAGGCTGTTTTCATTAAGGATAAAATGAGAGAGAATCAACTAAGATGGTTTGATCATGTACAACAGAGACCTCTTAATGCACCGGTTAGAAAAAATAATAATATTATAGTTAATGGGGCATAAAGATCTAGTGGTAAACCTAAAAAAACTTGGTTAGTAGCAATTAAGAAGGATATGATAATGGTTAACCTATCAGAGGAGATGGCCAAGAGTTGAATGAAATGGAAAAATAGGATTCATGTAGCCAACCTTAAAGATTTGGGCTAAAGGGTTTGTTGTTGTTGGCATGGAAGTATCATATACCAATTATCCTGATCATCTTCATCCAATCGTCCTGCATGGAAAAATATGGTTTTAATAACCAACTACATGCATTCTTGAAGTTCATAAACATTCAACACGTATAGACCCTCAGATCTACATGCCACAACAAGGTTATATTTGGAGTTAGATTGAAAATTATATGTAAGACAAGTTTTTTCTCTTGCTACATAAACTTGCAACTGTACAAGCTGAGCTTTCCAAGGTAATTAGTGAAATGTCATCATTCCAGGCTTAGGGTAATTATGATTTAATCAATATAATGCTGCACAATTCTTGTTCAATAGTGACATTGGTTTAAAGGACTCCCAAAGCACCCAATATTTTGCCAAATGGCATTGGTTTAAGGGACTCCAAAAGGACTCAGAGCTCATTTTGAGTTAACAAAAAACAAACAAATAGAGCGGTTAACATGTTGCTAATTTATGGCGACAAAAGATAAATATAAAAAATGTAACAAACAATAATTAGAAGAATCATGGAAAACTACACTAAGATCACAGAATATAATTTCTGTTTTTTCGATAGGGTTTGAAAGAGTAAACTTGTTCTTTCTGATAAGAGAATGGAGATGATATTGGAATAGGTTCAGTTTTGGCAGGATAATGTTATGGTGATGTCTTGAATTTCAATTCTCCAAAGTTGCCAAATATAATTGATAACATCCACACAGAAGGAGCCTAAGTGATCAATGGAACTAGAACTGGAGATATATGCAATCGAACTTGTAAATTTTTACAAAGGGTGGGGGCAGCGACACCGTTGTAGAGAAGCATGGGTTAACCATTACTTGTAGTGGCAAGGGGAGGAAACTCTCTTACTGAAGAAAATGATGTTAGCCCTGAATCCAATGGAGATGAGGGCCTCCCAAGTTTAAGCTTACATTGGATATCTTGACAGAATCAAAGCTTATTTATGGAAGTGTACTTCTGAATTCTGATGCCAGTCAACTTTTCCCAAGCAACACTATCAGAATTCTTTAGTAGAGATGCCTTCCAAGGTTTGTGTAAAAAGGTACCATTACTTTTTATTTTCGAATAATAGTGCAAGTGACTGCAGGTAGTATTATCTTATGATTGGTTAAACGACGAGAAATGTGGAGGTCATAATGAATATGCAATCTCCACAATGAACATGAGAAATTCAAAGGCTATAATGAATGTGTAATCACACTGATTGAAGCCGGACAATTTTTTTTTTCTGGAATGAATATTATAAATCTGTAATCTCATTGAATGAGAAAGAACTATCTTGTTACCTTTACCTACTTGAATAAAAGGTACATCCTTGTTTTGAAGTAGCAACCTCAATAGTGGCCTATCATGAAATCAAAAGTAGCAATACTAGAGGAAGAATGAATAAGGTGTCAAATAGAATCCCCAATGTAAATACCTATTCTTAATTAGAGATGCAACAATGCAAGTGCAATAATAAACATGAGTAATTAAACTATTTGAAGCATAATAATGCAACTAAGTAATTAACAAAAGTTATGATAGGGTTAAAGTGATGATCTAGAAAGATGTACAAATCAGTTGGATAATTATGATTACATTTAGATTATCTTTTTTTTTGGACATGTAAAGCCTGTAACTATGTAACTATGGCTGTTCCTTGGAGTTGAGTTCAACATATAGAACTTTAACTGATTGAGGATTTGTTAGCTTGCATAGGCCTGAGGACTTGTTATGTATTTTCCCTAAGTCTCTTTTATTTCTACACTTGTCCTGGTCAAGGATGCCGTTAGCGAGATGATAAGACGATTATAACTATTATTCATCTCTATAATAATATTGGCATGATTAATATGGAAAGCATGAGATGTCAGTTTCTATATATGTTTTAATTGGCATTGTGGTATAAATAAGGCTAATTAGCACTTAAATGCCTTACTGTTTCCCCTATTGTGCGCTTATATCCCTTCATTTGTTTTTGGCAGCACTTATGTACCCTTGAAATTTTTAATGTTCGCACTTTAGTAAATTTTGTTATTCAAACTTGAAAATATTCCCCTGAATATTCTCATGTGACACTCATAAGTTAATTTTAACTCGTTTTTCACGCTTAATTTTTGTTGAGTTTACGTTCAAATCTACCCAGATGCTGTTTTAAATAGAATTACGGTAGGTTTAAAATAGAATTACGGTAGTTTTAACAGTATCAACGAACATTAAGGGTTAAACTATTCTAAAACTAGCATGTGAGTGCCACATGAGAATATTTAGATAACATTCTCACGTTTGCATGACTGAAAGTACTCAAGTGTTATTTTTAAAAGCTTAGGGTATACAAGTGCTGCCAAAAGAAAGTCAGGCTATATAAGTGGTTAAGGGCTAATTATTTTCTGGTAATCAAATTAGCTTCTCAATCTTAATATTGTTCTCTCTTTCTAGCAAACTAGTATTTAGACCCGTGTAAAGCACGGTTTCTAAAAGATTTTCTGTAAATATTGAACATGTTATCAAAATAAAGTTTTAGTAAAGAAATAAATTAAATATACTTAATCATGATATTTACTTCCTTGGAATGGGAGGGTTGTGGGTAATTTGAAAAGATGTGGGAGTTAAGGTTGGTTATTTTTGGAGAGAGATCATGGGTTGTGTGAAACGTGGGTTGGTTATTCATTTTAATTGTTCATAAACTTAGGTTACTATTCATTTTAGCTTTCCTATTGTTCTCCTTTAGTAATAAAGAAGTAGATTCCTATGTCTATTCATCCTTCTTATCATTTACCTACTCTTGCTTGCATGTTCCATTGAAGACTAAATCGCTCATTATTTTATGAATTGCTGAATGAGAAGCTTCTTTTCTCAGTTGCTTGTATTTCATTCAGTTTATTTGTGATTTGTTATTGTAGAGAATAGAGAAAACCCTAATAGTTTATTGAGAATAACAAGAGAGATATATAGCCATACAAATAGGGTTAAGGTTAACGGGTAACAACCCATTAACCCAATACCCAATATTTAACTTAACACTCCCCCTCAAGCTGGAGCATAGATGTCTACCATGCCCAGCTTGTCACATATAGTAGAGAACACCTTTGAAGAAGTAGCCTTGGTAAGAATATCAGCAAGTTGTTGTGAGGACGGAGTGAATATGAGAGATACTATCTTCTTCTCTTAAGCATCTCTGACAAAATTGTAGTTAACTTCAATATGTTTTGTCCTCTCATGAAACACAGGATTCTGTGTAATATAAATGGCAGACTGGTTGTCACAATGCATTGGCATGGGTCCAGGCTGAACAAAACCAAGCTCTGTCATAAACTTTCTTAGCCACACCATCTCACAAGCAGTGTGAGCCATTGCTCTATATTCGGCCTCTGCACTAGATCGTGATACTACATCTTGTTTCTTGCTTCTCCAAGTCACAAGATTACCTCCAACAAAAGTACAAAATCCTGAGGTTGACTTTCGGTCTCCCATGTCTCCTGCGTAGCCAGCATCAGAGAAAGCCGAAATGTGAGTATGCCTATGCTTCTTATATAACAATCCTTTGCCATGACAACTCTTGACATATGCCAAAATCTTCAGAGCTGCTGTCCAATGAACCTCTCTAGGTTTGTGCATAAACCTGCTCAATACACCTACTGCAAAAGTAATATCAGGTCTGGTAACTGTTAAATATATTAGCTTCCCAATTAGTCTCCTATATCGTCCAACATCATCTAGGAGAGGTATCATCACGTCACAAATCAACATTTGCCTCCATTGGAGTGCTTGCAGGTTTGCATTCCAAGAGACCTGCTTCTTCTAGTAAATCTAGCACATACTTCCTTTGAGACAACAACAGACCATGTTTTTTATATGCAACTTCAATCCCAAGAAAATACTTTGGCTTTCCCATGTCCTTAGTGATAAAATGACGGTTTAGATACTCCTTAGTCTCAGTTAAGGCAATAGAGTCACTCCCAGTCAGCAGAATATCATCAATATATACGGCTAAAATAACCAAACCAGTTGTTGTGCGTCGAAGAAAGACAAAGTGATCAGACTGATAACGTTGGAAACCAACATTAGAAATAACCTTGCTGAACTTATCAAACCAAGCTCGAGGACTCTGCTTTAACCCATAGATGGCCTTTCTCTGCCTGCAGATAATATTCTCCCCCTGAGCAACATACCCAGGAGGTTGCTCCATATAAACCTCCTCGTCCAAATCACCATAAAGGAAAGCATTCTTCACATCTAGTTGGTGCATCGTCCAATCCATATTAACAGCCAGAGAGAAAAGAATTCTGATGGAGTTGAGACGAGCAACGGGAGAAAAGGTTTCAAAATAGTCGACGCCATATGTCTGGGTATAGCCTTTCGCAACCAGGCGAGCTTTATAACGGTCAACAGACCCATTGGGGCGATATTTTAGGGTATACACCCATCTGCAACCAACCACAGTCGCTCTAGTAGGAAGAGAAACCAAGTCCCAAGTCCCTCTAGAAAGTAGTGCATTCATTTCCTCATCCATGGCCTGCTTCCAAGCTGGTACTAACATAGCTTCCTCATATGACCTAGGTATAGATACAGTGGACAAGGACAAGGCAAACTGACGAAAAGATGGGTTGAGACGGTCATAAGAGACAAAAAGAGATATAGGATATTTCGGGCAAGACCGTTTACCTTTTCGAAGAGCAATAAGGATATCCAAGTCAGAAGGAATAGAGGTCTCAACATGAGATGGACCGACAGCTGGAGATGAAGGTTCAACAGTAGTAGATTCAGGGGCATGTACTTTTGGACGGCGAGAGTATGTCAGTAGAGGCTTCGGTGCAGGAACAACAGGAGCAGGTAATGGAATAGTAGTAGGAGCAGAAGAAGGTAGTGGTACCTGTGGACAGCCAATAGTAGTGGAACCAGACGAAAAATATGAGACATACTCAAAAAAGGTAACATCAGCAGACAAAATATTTCCTGGTAGACGGATGATAACACCTATATCCTTTTTGAGTACGAGAGTATCCAACAAAAACACATTTGATGGATCTAGATGATAACTTATCCAAACCAGCAGTTAAATCCTGAACAAAACACGTAGAACCAAAGACACGCGGAATCACAGAGAATTGTTTTTTATCAGAATAAAGACAATTGAATGGTATTAAACCATCAAGGACAGAGGAAGGCATGCGATTAATCAAATAATTTGCAGTGAGAATAGCATCAGACCACAAATACTTTGGAATATTCATATGTATCATCAGTGTTCTAGCAACATCTAGAATATGCCTATGCTTCCTCTCAGCAACTCCATTTTGTTGTGAAGTGTGAGAGCAAGAAGTCTGATGAATTATGCCATTAAGAGCACAAAATTTTAAAACATCACTTTTCATATATTCCAAAGTATTATCAGTACGAAGAATACGAACAGAAGTAGAGAACTGAGTTTTTATTTCATTATAAAAGAGTTCAATAACGTGCGAGACCTCTGACCTCTCTTTTAACAGATAAAGCCACGTCATGCGAGAGAAATCATCAACAAAGATAATAAAATATCGAAAACCTTGCACAGAGGGAACACGATAAGGACCCCAGACATCGGAATGAACCAACTCAAAAGCAAAACTACTACGTTTATCGACTCGACTCTGAAAAGTAGCACGATGGTGCTTACCCAGTTCACACGACTTACAACTTAAAGAGGAAATAGATGGCTGAACAAAAACTACCGATCTAAGTTTTTGTAGTGAAGGATGACCCAGACGCCAGTGCCACAATAAAGTGGAGTCAGACTGTGATGCAACAAGGCCAGCTTCTGGCACACTGTCGTCCAAATAGTACATACCTCCTTTCTCATGCCCCGAACCAATCTTCATCCTAGTTGCTAGGTCCTGAAAAACACAATAAGATGGAAAGAATGTGACTTTACAATTATTTTCATATTTTGTTTTGTAAACTTGCTAATGGATAATAGGCTAACAGGGAATTTGGGAACATATAACACATCAGTTAGTTTTAAAGAGGAAGTAGCATGAACTACTCCATCACCACGAACTGGAGAAAGAGTACCATCAGCAATGCGGATAGAAGGAAACTTATCAGAAAGATGTAAAGATACAAATAGGGTTAAGGTTAACGGGTAACAACACATTAACCCAATACTCAATACTTAATTTAACATGGTGGATCTGAACTCTAACTACTACCCATGAACAAAAGGTCTATGCTTAGGCAAATGGAAAGTAACGACTCACAAGTGGCAATCTATGGTCACATGAAAGATGCTGAGCTAATCCATTCCTTAGATAATGTCATGCCCGAGGTAATCTAGTACTAACAATTTTGCATATAGCTCTTGACCACAAATAACTATAAGGCACAGATTACACGCTTGATCCATCTCAGAAATATGATTGGTTCTCCCACAATGACCACACTGTCGTGAGCCCTTATCAGATTCACCTTGCCTCCCACCAAAGGAACCACGTCCTCCCCCTGAATCACGGCCACGACCACGACCACGACTGCGGCCTTTGCCTCGATTAGAGAACATGGCAGACTGATCCATCGTAGGTGGAGATGGTGTAGTAGTATTAGAAGTAACACCAGTAGAGACCTGCATGACTCTGGAGAATGTAGCAGTCAGTGAGGGAATTGTATCTCCACCCAATATCTGTCCTCTCACCTGGGACTGTAAATTAGAATTCAATCCAGAAAGAAATTTGGATACTGCCAGATCACGACGATACCCTAATAGCGTCGCTGCATCAGCTACTGCAGGCTGATGCATCTCTAGTTCGTCTATTTGTCCCTTCAATTCAGCAAAGAATTCCGGAACTGACTTATCTCTCTGTTTGAGCGCAAACAATCGTTCATAAATTTTAAATACGCGAGAAACATTCTTCTCGTTCTCGTACATAATCTTTAGGCTGTCCCACATCTCCTTCGCAGTGGTTAAAAACATAACGCTGCTACTGATCTGTGCTTCCATACTGTTGAGAAGTCAAGTCATAACACAATAATCAGATGAGAGCCATGAATTGTAGGTGGGATCTGAGGTTGGTGGTGGAGATGCAAGAAGATGTGGTAGTTTGCTCTGAGCGCCAATGAAGATGCAGAAAGCTTGTGCCCAGAGCAGATAGTTTGCACCATTCAATTTAATAGTAGTCCCCAAGACTACCTTAGGCGCAGAGGTCTCACTAGCAACAATAGAAGTAGTAGTAGAGGAGGAGATGTCCGACATCGAAGTAGTAGTTATTTTTATTTTTGAGCAACAATAGGAGACAAATAGTAGTCAAATAGGCAGATTAGTAGTAGAGATCCGTTTTCGAAACATGAACTAAGAGCAGATCAGGAGCAGGATTAGAGGCAGAGTCGTAGATAGTCATGCCCTCAAGCTGCGTAGGCGAGATCACCTGAGGGAGAGAGCCCTGGCTTTTGTTTGCACAAAGGCTCAATTTTTATATTCTTGTTTCTCTAAGGAAACAAGAATAAAAGTGAAATATCTCAACAACGTGAGATAGACACTCTTCCTCTCATCAGTTCTACGACTGAAATGTCAAGGCTTCCTCTTATCAGTTCTATGACTGAAATGTTAAGGGATACAATCGTCCTCTCATCAGTTCGAAGACTGAGATGTCGAGGGAATAGGCAACACGATGTAGGGGGCACTGTAGCATTGTGACGGCTAGGGTTTCATGCTCTGATACCATGTAGAGAATAGAAAAAACCCTAATAGTTTATTGAGAATAACAAGAGAGATATATATAGCTATACAAATAGGGTTAAGGTTAACGGGTAACAGCCCATTAACCCAATACCCAATATTTAACTTAACAGTTATAATCTCCTATTCCTTGCCATGAACACATTCTCATTTGACATTTTTTTGGCTTATTTTCCCTAGATATTGATGCAATTGCTTATAGCATATACTACATTTCCTAAGCCCTGTGAAAGTATAAATTTATAGCCCAAAACCCTCACCACAACTTCGCACGTTTGATGTTGTGGAAGAGACCATCAACGTGGTATCAATCATCTAAGCAACTTAGGTTCAACTCCCACTAGCTATGAGTTTCAAAAAAGTATTTAAAAAGATATGTTGCTGTGTGAGTCCATGTTTCAACTCGTGAAAAGGATGCTCAACATGGGGGGGCATGCTAGAGTAAAATTACATACCTCAATTCTAGCCACAAATTTGGAGTTTATATGCAGTGGCAGAGACCATAACTGGCCCCAACCTTATGACCATCAATTTGAGAGTGTGTGATGAATCTGATGATAGTGTTTGTGTTCAAGTTGGACATATTTATTTTGTTTATTATTATTTTTTTTTCATTTACCTGAGCTGTCTGCTTGCTGTTAGTTCAGGTTGTGCTGCTTTCTGCCAGTGCAATTCCTACATTTCTTTTGTCTCTACTCTTATATCATGGAATTTTTATCTTCTTCTTCCGACTTTTGGAAATGTTTTAACTCATTATAAATTAGTGCACTTTAACTATCATGTAAAAGCAATTACTGTCAACCTTACATGACCTCATTTTTAATTCAAGTTTGACATCCAAATGAGTTCATAATCTTGTTATTAGGGTGCCATTTTGTATCGAAGGACAGTAGAACCATATTTTTTGACAAGTTTTCCCTTGACTTGTTTTCTAGGGAGCATTTGTTTGGAGTTGTAAAGCATTGGTGTCTGAGGTGAGACTGTTGACCTTTGTTTCTTCTAACTGAATATTTATCTGAATTCTTAAATTATGGTGGCATTAATTTTTGTCTCTTTGACTGCTAAGGTTATTTACAGTAGCTAGATACATTAATTTAAAGTGCTTTGCTTATTTAAGATACATTTGTTAAGTAAATTCATTACAAGCTAACTGTTGGAAATTTTCCTTATCATCTATTTATTGTCACTTGACTTGTTTCTTCCTCTGCTTTCATTAAATTTATTTCAATTCTCACTATGATGGTGAAATTTAAGTCCAAAAAGAATTTGAAGTTGTCATATAGCTTCAAAAGACTATTTCTTCAATTGTATAATCTTTTGCCCCGTAATGGCTTGGTATATAGTGTTCTCATAAAATAACAGTTTATATCTTTTTCCCTATGTTGGGGTATGAGTATATTCAGCTTCGCGTAAAACAATGTTCTTGTCCTAGCTCTGAATTCACAGATGGTGAATTAAGGTGAGTAGCACATAATGTTCACATAAGAACAAAGTTTTGCTTAAATAATAGTTTCCGTTTTCATGTCTTATGTAATCAAACTCGGTATTAGAGTGGATAACTGAAGAGAGAAGTTAGCCACGTATCCTTCATATCTCTCTATGAAGAGAATATTCCAACCTGTATTGACTAGTGGAACTATGTGGAGCGTTATTATTTTCTTATGATCGAGTCCAACAGATAGGCCTATGTTAACTGCTCTGTAGTTAAGAATGACCCTGTAGGAGTACCTAAATGCATGAGCTCCTTGGCGAGACATCAGTAAGTCTTACAGATTCACCACATTGACATATAACTTGTAGCATGCTAGGAGTAGAAATTTAGTTGCAATTTGGTATGTTGCTGTTAGCAACAATGTCAGAAGCATGCTGACTGCATATTGTGGTTTGAGAAAGAATTAACCTTTTACCGGATAACAATAGTTCAGTGCCCGGGAACTAATGCAAGAAATGTTGCAGCTCTTCAAAATATTGTCTTCGAAAATGAAATTATCTATAAAAACATAGAGTCCAAGAATAGAGGAGAGTGATGATGCCCAGTCAACTGGTTCATGTTGGTAAACATGTACCAGTATCCTTGAAGAAAGAAATCTGACACGCTTTATGTTATTTTCAAATCCACCACTTTCATTTAAGTTATTTACTTAGTCTCTCAATACTGTTTAAACAACCAAAGAATTTGCCATATTTACCGAAGTGTGCTGTTGCATATTTTTTTAGTCGGAGTTGATATTTTCATTTGGCTTCATATTGCTTAAACATATGATGATCTATGCCACATCCCAACATGTTGGTGTGAAATCAACAAAAATATAATCTGTTAGCTAAATTCAGTAAACATAATCAAAGAATTATTACTAAATAGATGATAGAATCATAGAACTGGACTAAATAGTATATAAGCACTCTAAAATAGGAATCTTGTAAATCAAACAATAAAGAAGTAGAATCATGAAAGTAGGCCAATGACTTTCAGATACTGTTATACAGGAAAGAGAAAAAGATGATGACCCCCCTAAAAATTATACAAATAGTGTAATCTTTTTAGAGCTTTGATAAAAATACATTTACATCTCAAGCTTCCAGAACTTATTGAAGTTTCGCTGGAACTTAAAAACATGATCACATAAGCCTGTTCTCTTTTACTTTTCTATTCTATCATCACAGATTTACCTTCTATTCTCTAGTTAAAAGTCATGTAAGTGGCATATCTATTTAGAATTAAATGTCACTTCAACCGTTCTATTGCAAAGTTTAGCTAAAACCAAATATAAATGTTATCGGTTGTAAACTCTTTTTAGTCAATTGTTGCTGATATTTCTAGAACTTTCATGTGGAGACATGATACCAAAACCTGATATTTGTGATTCTCGACTGCCGATACCAACAGACACTGATGGTATAGAAGCATCCTAATAAGTAGTACGAAAGCAGTATTTCAAAGTATTATCTGAAACAAGTATGAGGTGTTGTTTGAGCTCATATGTAGCCTTATGCAACCATAAGCACCTTCCCTTCCGTAACTGTAAAATGAACGTTTGAATTCCAGAAGAAAATTCTTTTTAATTAATCAATTTTGTCCATTAACAACCCAGGAAAAAAAATAATATACAATTATAAAGAAGTTTGAGATATTTGCAAGAAATGCCCTAGAAGAGGATAAGACCCTTCCAACAAGCAATTCATCTCTTAATCTTGTCAATTTATGGCTGCCAATCCTGTTTATTGAGCCCCACTAACTTATAGAGAGGTACAAAGATTATAAGTAAAAACACTCCTTACATTGAAACATTATACATGACAGTTACGAAGTAAGTTATCATAAATAGACTTCACATTCAAATATGACCAATATATTGATCTGTTTTTTTTTTTTAAATTTTTGTAGTAGCCTCTTCTGCTTCCTGGTTCTTTCCATAGGGAATTTGTAGTATATTAAAGAGTTCTTTCTCACTCATTTAATATCAATTAAATTGTGGATAAGAGCTATCTTATTGCTTCCCTTGGAAGCAAATGCTATTTTCATTTTACATTAGTTTCAGTAATTCTCATATAACTGTTCATAATAAGATATGTTGATCTCTCTAGAATCATTTCACATTATAATAATCTGAATACCTTGTAGATAAAGGCTTCGCAAAAGGAATTTGATCAAATACTTGCTGAGCACAGGTATGATCCTAGCTTAATATTTGCAACATTTCAATACACTACTTTAGCAGGTATGAAAACAGTTGCACGCTAGAAAATGTACCATGTTTGCAATGACCAATGATTATGCTGTGCAACCCTGACATCATAAATCAATTTTCACTGCATGACTAGATTATGGCTTATATATCTTACAAGTATAGAAAAAATCATGACAAATATGCTTCTTTTACCATGTAATCAGGTCAATGTTTGGTATTAGGGACCTAACCTGTAACCACCATGGGTTTCATCTTTATAAAACTACACAATCTGCTGACTAGGCCAAGTGTATCTTTAATTACTGTAGTGGTGCATTTATTCTTCATTTCTTGGCCTCTATGTTGGTGACTGTGCTCTATTTATTGCATACAAAACTCAATGTTTAGAATGAGGACTTTAAATTGTCCCTTTGTTGTGCTAATATTAATAGGTATAACTACCTTCTCCTTGAGCATGTATGTCCGTACCCCTTGTCATCTTTTACTTTGAGCAACTTACGAAATATTAAGGTCATTCTTACCACGTTGGGATTTTTCCATGAAAAATAGCTTAGAAAATGTAAACGTAAATTAGCCGGGCACCTGCTGGCAATGCACTGGCTAGTCGGAGTGGCCAACAATGTTCGGCCATCGCGTTGTTGCCTCATCACTCCGTCAATTGTCCTGGTTTGTTCGTTCTTGCTGTATATACATATTTCTACATTTCTAACACAACGATACATATTTTATTTGCATAAACCTAACTAAAATACAAAACCCTGATTTTTTCCCACATGATTTTCGATACTAAGAAACAACTGATAGATTGATAGATAATCTTTAAACAATCAGAAATAGTAAAGATGGAATCAATGGCTAGAAGAGTAGGAAATGACACCTACCCTTTTTGTTTAGTCATCGCATGCAAAGAACTGTTGGTGCTAATCATAAAAAAAATTCCTTTTGCCGCTGTGCTTCTCACCGTGGGTTTTCAGATGCTCTGCAATCTCTTCAATCCCTTCCTTCATAGTCAAACCCCCCCAACCTCTTATCTCACGTACATGAATGGTGGAGGTTTGTGGATTACGGTTTTAGTGGATGGGATATGAGGGGTTTGTTTTGTGAATAGGAGGGGCGTGGGTGCTTGCCAAACTTGGATGGAGGGGTTTTTGGTGTGATGACTGGCTTGGGCATCATGGGGGGAGGAGGCGGCAGCAATCAAGCAGGAGAGAGGTACATAAGGTTTTTGAGGGACAGGGGATAGGGTTTATCTCTGTTTATAGGTATTCTATCATAGTAGGTTCTTGTGTATAAGAGATTAACATGGACTTTTATGCAAAATGATCATGCCTTATATTTGACTGTAGCCTTCAGGTGGTAACGCTCTAGTTGGTTCGGATTTTCAATAGTGGAGGAAAGGAATATTTTTAGGCACACATAAGTTACATATTTATGTAGTCCAAGGTTTTAAATATCGGTTATCGGGAATTTATCGGACGACCAAAATTCTTATCGGATAGCGGAAATCGGGGATATATCGGGGATAAGTAGTATTTATCGGAGTGATATACTAGATGGTGTATATATATAATATAATAACTAAAAAATATAATCTAACCATGCTTAATGAAATATAAACATACCAAAATGTAAATCATCATGTTTAGAATCACTAACCAATTGTAGAAAGCAAAACTTACATCTTGACCGCACCATGAAACCATTCGATTGCATAGCCTTACTTATCGGCCGATAATCCCGATAAAAAAACCTTATCGGCCGATAAGTACCGATAACGCCGATAACTCCCCGATAACTTGCCAAAAACGATAACCGATTAAAAATCCAAGTTATCCTATCGGAGAGCTCCTAAATCCGATAACTCGGCCGATAATATCGGTTATCGGCCGATATTTAAAACAGTGATGTAGTCACATCAACTCTTTATGCTTTAACGTTGAGGTGGACTTGTGTGCAAATTGCACACAACTTATGGTTGTAGCTGCTGAATTTAAAGAGTAGGAAGAGATTAGGATGTAGCATTTAATTAGGGTAGGATTCAGAGTAGAATATAAGGTTTTAAAGTAATTATCCTATTTGGGCTAGGATTTGGACTAGCAAGTAATTAGAAATCTTGTGAGGGGTTTTGTGTAATTATGCACATCAAGAAATAAGCTGAACTCCAGGTTGGATTTGGAGTTTATGCATGCATATTTAGAGTTTGCATAAAGTTCATATGATACTAGCTTTTTTATGCAATTATAGAGGGACTTTTATGCAAATTGACTTGCATTATCAAGTTGTTGCCGGACTCAAATATGAGTTCCTTAGTGGCACGGGTTTCCAGGAAACACATTACGTCAAGTTTGTGGGATTTCTAGTATTTGTGGGATTTCTAGTATATGAGGTTTTAACTTTAATTAGATAAATAATTTAAAATATTATTAGGATTATGGTAATGTTAAAGTCTTTAACCATTACACCAAAATTACAAAGTTGTGGTGAGGGTTAGGGTTAATAGTTTTATATTCTTGCGTGCCTCTGCAGGTTAGGCGCTTTGCCAAAACCTTAACTCACACAACAGTGTCAATTTTTAGAAAATCCATTTTAATTCAAGGCTGTTAGGATTTGCACGTAGATTGCTCTGATACCATGTTAGTGTGACACCCCACTTTAGTCTTACATGGAGTAGTGTGAAAAAATGTTAGTGGCTTAAATAGAGAAGCCCAAGACCTAAGAACTAGTGCTAGCATTTTGACAGTGAACTTTAGCCAACATTGAGTTGTTCTCGGTGGGTCCCATGACTTGCACGCGCCAACGAGTCTAGGGTGCGACAAATGATATCAGAACAGTTGCCAGCCGGAAGTGTGAAACTAAGTGCTATACGGGGCTAACTGCTACACCGTATGGATGCGGTGGGAGCCACCTCTAGAGCTCGTAGGAGCTACGGGTCCCATGACTTGCACGCGCCAACGAGTCTAGGGTGCGACAAATGATATCAGAACAGTTGCCAGCCGGAAGTGTGAAACTAAGTGCTATACGGGGCTAACTGCTACACCGTATGGATGCGGTGGGAGCCACCTCTAGAGCTCGTAGGAGCTACCTCTAGAGTCCACATCGTCTGACAGTGATACTGGGATGTGCTAATTGTTATGTCGTGACGACGAGAACGTCGTCTTTACAAAGTGGGGTGATTGTGACACCCTCACTTTAGTCCTACATGGACTAATGTGAAGAAATGTTAGTGGCTTAAATAGATAAGCTCAAGAATCAAGAACAACTAGTGCTAACGTGTTGGCAGTTGACTTTAGCTAACATTGAGTTGCTCTCGGTGGGGTCCCACGGCTTGCATACGTCAATTGGCCCAGGGCGTGACAGTTAGAAAGACACTAACCATTATACCAAAACTCGAAAGTTGTGTTAAGAGTTAAGGGTTATAATTTTATATTCTTACAATTAAATATTCACAGATAACTTCTTTTGAAATTAGAAGATAGGATTCATATTAGAATTAGAATTTAGTATTTAAATTAATAAGAGATACTATTGGACCTTCTTATTAAATTGTACACACTAGCACTCATGAGCCTTTTGTTCGGATCAAGATGCAAGCCTAGAAGGGAGTTAAATAGGATTGCTATTCTTTTTCAAAACTTAAAACAAATATTAAATATCACAGATATTGCAACAGAAATGAACAAAAGTTAGAGAGCAACCGTAAACCAATCACAGAAACAAGGATTTTACAATGGTTCGCATTGAAATTCTACATCCACTCTTCCTCTTTGCTAGGAGGGGCTTCCACACTATGCAAAGATTTTTCCTAGCTCCACACTAGTAACTCTCTTCCTCAATTCACATTGCTAGATTTGAGAGAATCCTTTGGTATATTAAAATGAAAAGCATGTCCTAAAGATGACAATTTCGCAAATTTATCCTTCTTATGGTTATGTCCTATCGTGATTGTAAAGTCGTTCTAAGAAGTAAATACAAGTAAAAATAAACAAAAGTATTTAAAGGTATGTGATCTAATAGTGTCCCATGACCTCAACGAAAACAATATAGCAGTGCCAGTGCCAATGTTCTTGGACATGACAGATTGTCATGCTCAATCAAATTAAATATACCATTGACTTTAAGAGAATAGTGAGATTATTTCTTGTTAACTTAGGAGAATTAGCTTTTTGCATCCCAAATTAGGGGAAAAAGTTGTTGAATATAGAAGCACATTTTGGGAAGAAATTTAGAAGGATGGATCATTTTTTCGTGAGGGAAATAATGTAGCAAAATGATTATAGAAACTTTTGACATTGATTTCGAGTAATAATGTCATATATAACCCAAATGCAACTTTTCCATTTTTGGTTTGTTATAAGTACCTAATTCTTTAACGGCGATACCTATTTAAGATAGCAAATACGAACTTATTCGATATCCTAAGACCACTATAATTAATGTGCATTCTATCAAATAGTTTATTTTAGACCATTTGAAAATAACAAACTTTAGAGATGCAGGACAAGACGCAGGAGGATACGAATGCAAAGAAGGCAAGCAATAATACGGATGAAGATCCCTAAAGTGAGCTATGTCCATGCACTAGTTGCAAATACAAACTAATCAGCGAATAACTAAAGGTGTTGTGCAATTTTAAAATGAAAATAGCGATGAATTATGTAAATGATTATAGAAATATCAATACTTAATGTAATTATAAATTTCCTACAACCCTAAAGAGATTGCAAGATTAACAGTAAGAAATTGACGCCCTGTTTAGAACTAACACCCAAATCGTCAAAGATGCAAATAAGGATTGAATTGAAAGGCTCTATTGCAAACTTGGTGAACTAAACTAACACCCAAATCGTCAAAAGATCAAATAAGGATTGAGTTGTAAGGCTCTATTGCAAACTTGGTGAACTAATCCATGAAATTGAAGAACGAACCAGCCCTCAACTACTTCGATTTGGATTTATCATACACCTGTAAGCAAAGAGACAATTAATCCACCAAGTTATCAAACTTAGATCTGAAATTAAACTCTCAATTAAATCTGCCCATCAAGATTAGGGGCTTCGAGAACTCTGTTGGAGATATTGTTCACGTGAATAGTAGTCGGAGGACTTGGCTAGTAGTCAGAGCCAGCGTTGAAGAGGATGGAAGAAGGATTGCATAGACAGTAGTCGGAGCATTGTACCGAACAATAGCCGGGTTTACATGTTACATGAACAGTGGGCAAGGCTAGGTCTGAATTTTGCTAGGATTTTGTTTGAGTGAAGGGTTGGATATGAGTTGAGGGTATAATGAGAGGTTGAGATAAAATCAGAACAATTAAATAAAATGGGATTCACACGCTCATAGCAATTCATATGCTAGCTTGAAATCTCAGAATTATCATATCAAATAGTTTGCCTTTCACTGAGGTCTTACACCATTATTTATAACCATAAACAAAATCAAACCAAATTCCTAAATTACGCTCAAATCTTAGCAAAAATAGAAACTAATATAAAATCCTATCAATTAAAATCTCTGAGATTATGATGAATATATCCATAATCAATCAATATCCTCCAAATTCAATCGCGTGTTTCTTTCTCTTGGAATATAATCTCCATAGATTTCCATCAACTCTCCCCGGCTTCGAAGCATTCGCCTCTAGTGAATGACGACGATGATAAGCGTACAGTGCATTCGAGATGAGCTTCTCAGTCCGTAGCCAAGTGCAGTCTGAATCAGGTCGCCCACGCTAATGGACTAGATATCTCTGTAAACCGCCATCTATTGTTGAAATTATCTCATCTTGCAAAATATCCTCGATCTCCTCTGATGAATGTCTCCTCGGTTGTATAGGTGGTGGAGCTGGAATCTGCTGTGGTACTGCAGAAGCTAAAGGTGTAAGATTTGGGATTGTTGTCGGGTAGTCCACAAGCGCATGATAAGGAGTCAAATTCTCGATGTTGAAAACCGGGCTGATGTCCGTAGGATGTCCAACTCGTATGCATTCGAACTAATCTTCCTTAGAACTCGAAATAGACCTGTACGTCCGGCATAAAGCTTCACCGCTGCTCCCCTAGTTGATAGGAATCCATGGAGTGTATATTCTAGGAGAGTGATTGTATTTAGAGGATACTGATTGATTCTGGATGTATTCTTCATGTTCTCAGAGATTATAATTGATAGGGTTTTATATTAGTTTCTACTTTTGCTAAGATTTGAGCGTGAATTAGGTATTTAGTTTGATTTTGTTTGTGGTTATAAATAATGATGTGATGCTTTAGTGAAAGACAGACTATTTAATATAATAATTCTGAGATTTTAAGTTGGCGTGTGAATTGCTATGAGGATGTGAAACTTATTTTATTTAATTGCTTTGATTAAATCTCAGCCTCTCATTATACCCTCAACTCATATCCACTTCTCCACTAAAACAAAATCCTACCCCAATTAAGACCTAACCTCGCCATCACTGTTCATGTGAACAGTACCCCAACTACTGTTCAGTCTAGTGCTCCGACTACTGTCCACGCGATCGTTCTTCAACGCCAACTCCTACAACTATTCATGTCCTGCTCCGACTACTGTTCACGTGATTAATATCTCCCACAGAGTTCTGGAAGCCCCTAATCTTGCTGGATAAATTTAATTGAGAGTTTAATTTCAGATCTAAGTTTGATTGCTTGGTGGATTAATTGTCTCTTTGCTTACATGTGTGTGGTAAATTCAAATCCAAGTAGTTGAGGGTTGGTTGGTTCTTCAATTTCGTGGATTAGTTTAATATGTTTGCAATAGGGCCTTTCAACTCAGTTCTTATTCGAACTTTGACGATTTGTGTGTTAGTTCCTTACACCCTCAGGTGAATTCTGAACAGGGCGTTGATTTCTTATTGTTAATATTACAATATCTTTAGAGTTGTAGGGAATTTATAATCACATTGAGTATTGATATTTCTGTGATCCATTGTATGATTCATCACCATTTTCAGTTTATAATTGCACTACATCTTTAGTTATTCGCTGATTAGTTTGCATTTGCATCTAGTGCATGCACATAGCTTACTTTAGGAATCTTCATCCGTGTGATTGTTTGCCTTCTTTGCATTCATGTCCTCCCGTGTTCTGCCCTGCATCTTATTTGGTATCAGAGCTAAAAAGATTCACCATTGTAGCTTCGGCATTGGCGATGCAGCAATTCAAAGTCCATCAGATTTAGTTTCAATTAGGATTTTATGATTTTATTTGATTTTATCCTTTCCTTTAGTTAGGATCTTATCTGATGTTATCTTCTTTTAGTTAGGATGTTATTTGATGTTATCTCTTCTTTAGTTAGGATTTTATTTATCTTCTTAGTTTTTTTATAAATAAGATTGTACTGTTTCATTTGAGGAAGGGGAGAAGAATATTTGTGAGAAATCTGCATGTGAATTACATCTGGTATTGGGCATGTGAGGTGCTGGCATGTGAGTGCCCAGGTGTAGACCTATATTTGTGTCTTTTCCTTTTCTTAAATAATGAGTGCAATCTTATTATTTGTATTTTTGTTTTATTTGATCCAAATAAGTTCTATCAAGAATCTCCTTGTTGTCGTTCCTCATCATTTGATACCAGAGCAGAAAAGATTCGCCTTTGTAGCTTCGACATTGATGATGCAGCGATTGAAAGTTCATCAATGCTATGCAATTTTAAATTCAAGGGCGAATTCTTCAAGAGGGGGAGATGTGATGCAGGATAAATTTAGGTCTGAAAGAAGATGTCATGAAGATTTGATCAGATTTAGTTCAATTAGGATCTTATGATTTTATTTGATTTTATCCTTTCATTCGATTAGGATCTTATCTGATGTTATCTTCTTTTAGTTAGGATATTATTTGATGTTATCTCTTCTTTATTAAGGATTTTATTTAACTTCATAGTTTTTCTACAAATAAGATTGTATCTTTTTCATTTAAGGAAGGAGAGAATAATATTTGTGAGAAATCTGCATTGAAATGCATGTGGTATTAGACATGTGAGGTGCCGGGTGTAAGGCCCATATTTGTATCTTTTCCTATTCTTAAATGATGAGTGCAATTTTATTATTTGTATTTTCGTTTTCTTGATCCAAATAAGTTTTATCAAGAATCTCCTCCTTGTCATTCCTCATTGCCCTTTACCCATGGTTATTCTGTTGTAACTTGTAAGAATTGAGATTTCTAGGAAATTTTAGTGGCAATGTGGGGTTCTATGGTTGATTCGAAGAAAAACCAACTTTGTAAGTTTAAGGATAAATTGAAAATATAATACAGTTTATGTAAATTGACCCTATTTGTTAATGGGACGTACTTGTTCTTTCTTCCCTGACAAAACAGGAATCTAATAGCTTAGAGAGCAAACTAGATGATTGCTTGTACGAACACGATTATCTTATCATCAGAATGTTTTGAAAATTTTGAAAATTTTCACCGACATCATTGAGTTCTCTATTATTTTTTATAGTTTTTCTTTTTCCAAACCGGCAGGCCGACATCCATGCAAGGAAAATTGCTTCAGCACAATCTAGGCCCTGAAGTTGTTGTCGCTTTAAAAGATCTTAAGAAAAAACTTTCTTAAGAAAAACCTAGCCGAAGTCGGTGATTTAAGTTTCCGCTGTAAATGATTCGCGGAAGCTACATTGCCGTTAGATGAGAAGTAGAACAGAAAACACCAAATTTACAATGTACAGCTGAGTGAAAGTAGGTGAGACAAAAATGAAATGGAGACCACAATACATGCAAGGAGTAACTGTAGTCGGAGTTCAGAGGCGCTTTTACTTGTGCTTCAAACTTATTTTATTGGTTGACGAACTATATGCACTACTACTTTTTGACCAGAGCAAATGAAATGCAAAGACACAGGTAATTCACCTTTGCTTGTGGCAACTTTGCCTTTTAATTTTCCATTATTTGTATAATTGGTCAGAAAAAATAACATTACTGGACTTGTTTGCATTGGTGTTTTTATATTGGTGTTACTCCCAGCTTCAAACATGGTGATTATGATATTGTCATATATCTGTGACAATAACTGTTACTGATTGGAATTCAGATATGTAAATTGGAAAATTTATTATTATTATTATTATGTTTTTGTGTGATATTTTCTCTGTCACCAACCATTCGGAGGAAGCAACTTGAGTCGTGAAATTTCTTTTCTGCAATCAATCGATGGAGTATATAAAGGTAACACTAATTTTTCTTACAGGATTTCTGTGTGCTGAAATTGGCTTTTTTTTTAATAAAAAAAAATACTAAATTTTACCTGTAGGGAATGACTCCTATAATTGCAAAAGAAATTATTTCTGTTAGATTTGTTTAACAGCTGATAGTCATGTAACGAAAGCGTTATATATAGAATAAATACATGATATGTTTTGGTCGTGAAGGCCCAAATTACACAGGTAAATGAGTACTAGCTGGAGCTATTATCAAATGTTAAACCACTTTCAAAATTACTAAAGGACCATTTCCAGGTACCTAAGCTCTTGCTTTGTATATCGAGGTTGTCTTTGTGTCTCGGAACAGGTTTTTGACTTTGCTGAAGTTTGATGGTGTATTTGGTTTTGAGTAAAAATCTTGGGAGCACCCACTTTGAGAAAATACATTTTGCTATTATTAATACCAACTTTCTCACTACTTTCCCAAATTTGTATGTCAAATATGGAGGATTGCGAGAAAAGTTTTAATTATATTAGCAGACTACATGGAGTGCTTTAAGGATTTTTCCTCGCAACCATATAGTCCAAGAGGTGTCATCAGACTTCAGCAGATTCAAATGCCCGTTTTGCAACACGAAATGACAATTTTCTTAAAAGGACCAATTTAATTAGTTATTTAGCGAACTAGACCAATTTGGTATAGGCTAAAATACCAAATTTATATTTTTATACGAACCATTTTGCTAGTTTGTTATTTTTAAAAACTCCGGTGACGATAAGGTATTTAATTTCGTCATTTTTGTCAATAAGACTATTTTCTCAATATTGTGGTGAGAAAATTTGTTTTTAACCTCCTTATCTCCCAAATTTATTAAATTTATACCCAAAATTTTCAAAAAAAAAAAATCATCCCCTCCCTCTTCCCCTCCTCCTCGTCCTCCTCCCCCATTCCCCTCTCCCTCCAGCGCACCATCGTCCTCCTCCTCCTCTCCTTTGTCCCCATCTCCCTCCTCTGGGTCAACCTTGGCCTCCTCATGCTCCTCCTCGGCCAGGACCCCTCCTCCTCCTCATGCTCCTCTGGGTCAACCTCGGCCCCCTCATGCTCCTTCGTCCCTCTTCTCAACATGGCCGTCTTCCTCCTCCCCTACCTAAGGTTGATGGGGGCGTGCGAGCTGACCAAGAAAAGCTCGGTGAGACAGAGGACCGATGAGGGCGGTAGGGGACTAGACGAGGGCGGTGGAGGAGGAGGTAAGGGTGGGGAGAGGGATGTAGTTGAAGGGGGAAGGGGAGGCGGAGGAGGGGAGGAAAGGGGAATGGTAGAGGAGGAGGAGGACGAGGACGTCGTCGACGACGAGGAGGAGGAGGAGGAGGGGGAGAGGGAAGAGATAAATTATTATTTTTTGACTATTTTGGGTATATATTTAATAATTTCGGGAGGTAGTGGGGTTAAAACAAAATTTTTTGCCGGAATATTGAGAAAATGGTCTTATTGACAAAAGAACGAGTTTTAATGTCTTATTGTCGCCGGAGTTTTTAAGAATACCAATCTGACAAACACGTTCGTATAAATATACTAATTTGTTATTTTAGCCATTTGGTATATGTAGCAAGGACCAATTTAATTACTTAAATCTCATTCGCGAAAAGTGAAGGATCGCGAGTCTCTACTAACCTGACATGTATTCTAATAATCCACACACATCACCGGTATTTGTACCATAGATTACACGGCCGACGTTATCATTATATCATGGTCTTGTCATCATTTACGACAATATATCATGATGCCTAGCATATATCAGTAAGTGAAGTCTGATATAAACAACTAGCACACAGGTATCCCATCGCATGTCACGTTTATCATTGTGGCATTGACATATAAATAATTTTAGAACTACCGACAACTAGCAAAAATAGAAACATTTGCACGTTTCACGGATCTGCCATATTTATATGACCATAAGAAAGCTAATAGAATAGATATATCAGAAATAAAAATAATCAATTAACGAAATCACGTAAAAAAAAATCCAACACGTAAAATTGTTGAGCGCTGCGGAAGCCAAACAATCAAACCAACGTGCTGCGAGAAATCAAATCAAACGAACGTCGAGAGAAGGCCAAACAAACCAAATCAATGCCACAAACACAAACAACCAATTTTAACGTGGTTTGGCAAGTTACCTACGTTCACGGGGCAAGAAGAGAATATGATTTTTCACTATAGAGAAGAAGAGTATAAACTGATATTACAAATCACTCAAACTCACCAATTAATCTCACCAACAAATCTCTAATTCTCTCCAAACAAAACCCTATTCAATAGCTCAGAAAATACATATTTTCTGTGCTCCAAATATCCCTAATTTTCTTCTCTATTCTCTCTTCCAATTGTTCTATATATATGGAAATCCTAAAATCGTAAACATACTAGGAATTCTAAAACAAAAAAAACAAAACAGATTAGGAATCCTAATAACCTGTTACCAAAACAGATTTGGAGTCATGTTACCAAAACAGATTAGGAATCGCAATAACCTGTTACCAAAACAAATTAGGAAATATATTAGGAACCCGCTATCCAACAATTCTCCACATTGGCGAAATTTTTTCAAAACTGAGCCGACACCAATACCAACCAAACGTCTCACTTGTTGCGTCCATTACGAAGTGGAACAAATCCATGACAACAGACTCAATCCACAACAAGTCGAGAATCCAAACGAGAATGCGAACAAACTCCAAATATCGGTATCAACTCACCAATCTAGATGCATCATAAATGACTGCCTACGTATCCTCTTACCCAAGGAATCAAGCATTCACGTAGTTCACCCAAACGGCCTCCAAAGGCCCTCAATCAAATAGAAAGTTTGTAACTCTTCACCAATATCACCAACGGATCTGCAACTGATAGCGCTCCTAATGGCCCCAAGCTGAAATAAATCAAATACCTTCACCTGAGGTGAACCAATGGCCGTATCCAAAACATGTCCACCAGCTGCACTCGAATCCAAAACCAACTCAGCATATGCATCCAAATCCAAATGATCTGCAAACAGTGTCACCTCAGCTAGAATCCCAAACGATGCAGTATGATCTGGAGTATGTGGAGTAATCTCCACCCAATGTGAAGTAGCATCACCCTCTACTCGCTGCGATATCCCAATGATCTGATCAATACTTTCCACCTGCCGAGAATCAAATGTGACATACCTGCTCAGAACAAAATCAAAAGCTCCTAACTGATAGTCAAACGAATTTCTGAATCCGAAACGTGCAATCAAATCAAATCTCACATCCTCGATATGACCAAATGCTGGGCAACCAAATATCCGAAACAACCCAAAATCTGAAGCAGCTTCACCAGATCTAAAATCTCCACATGCAGCAGTCGGCAATCTATGACCACGATAACCAAAATATGTCG